TTACATTGCTGAATCAGAAACTCTAGTGATGGAGTCCCTCAATCTGTATTTTCATTAGCTCTCTAGGTGATTCTTGTGGTCTTTTGAGAACACTATTTTATTTTAAAAAGCCTAGATGAGAGAGGTTTTCACACATACATAACACATACTCATTAGATTTTGCATAGCTAGTCCACAGCCCGGACATTTACAGACACTGTTGTAGTTTTGGTTGGTGTTTGTTTTTTACCTAAGTCTTAACTATTTTATTTATTTTAGAGTAATCTAGCATAATTTCGTCAGTAATATTCTAAGGAGTAGAATGTGATGAGAAATAAATGTAAAAAATGTCCAGATTATAAAATAAATACACCTTCATTACAAGGAGTGTTTCTATTATATTATTAGTATTTCCATAGAGTGGTTTTAATCCAACATCAGCATTGTTCCAGAAAATTGGGTGAATTTAACAATAAAGGATCATCATTTACATCTAAAGATCTATTAAATAATATGAATGTATTTTTATATTTTATTTCATTAAAATCAGGAGAATATTTTGTCCAAAATGTAGGCTCTGCACAGGTGTAAAATGTCTACCTCTTTTCACAACATCTCACACAAATGACAAAAATGATGTACAAAAATGAATCTATAAATGAAAAGAGAATGGGATCAGTTCAATGAACTAGATACTTTGCTGAATTTCTTTAAGGCTTAAAGTAATTTGAAATCTTCTTGAAGGAGAAATCAGAGCAAGGGAATCTGTAGAGTAGAAAACTACAAGGGAAGGTTGCAAAGAGAGTCTGAATTTCTGACATACCCCAACCAACTCTTTCATACTCACCCAAACTAAAGGAGGACTTGACAGGTTTTATACCCTGCCCTTATACTCATAGCTTCACATTCTTCTTCACACGAAAAGAAAAGGCCAATAATAAAAACAGACCTTTAAAATGGTGGAAGAAACAGACACCAGTTGCTGATATTACCAATCAATCTTTGGTTCATAACAACAAATGAACAGGCAAAAATCTGGAAAACTTACAGGAAATAATCAGTTCATTGGAAATATTATACAAAAGTGAAAATTAACAAACTCTGAGTATATACAATAACAGGTATTCTCTGGAGAGAAAGAGTAACAATAGCTGGAATCCATTTCCTGGGGCTTAAAGGGTACTCTCAGGGGAACAAAAGAGGGCAGATGACCTGCTCTAATCTTGGAAACTAGACTTCCAGAAATGTAGAAGAATGATATTTCTTTAAAATATTATAGGTTTGTTATCCTATAAACCTGATCTCTAATTAAATATCTTCTCCTGGTATTTTGTCATAATATTTCCCAGGAGTTGAACCTACTGATAAGAACAACAAGAATAATTCACCGTAAGTATATGATACTTGAAATTTTCCAGAAAGAAACTTAAGAAGGCGAGTTGAAATTCAATGGCCATCCCAGCCATAGAAATCTCTCTGGGATTCAAGACTGAAAAGTATGTTGCACTCTTACACATTCTATGCATTTGTATTGTCAAATTCTTTAAAATTTTTAAATATTTCACAATACTTATTTAGTACCTGATGTTTGGAAGCCCCTGTGTTACACACTGCACAAGAAAGAATGAGGTATAGACTTTTTAAATTATGAGTTGGAATAGCTTGTAGGCCTATAATAAGTATTATCCGAGACTAAGTGTGGATAAGAAGGATAAATAAAACTGCTAAGCATTTTGAGTGACTGAGCACTTCTATCATTTTGATAGAAAGGAAAGTCACCATGGAGCTATAACATTTGGAATAGACATAGAAGAAAGCATACCATTTTCATTGCAAGTGAAGATGGAGCCAAATGGAGGGAGAATTCTTTGTGCAGGGACCTGCATGAGCAAAAGCAGGTACCTGAGAGAGTAAGGTGTGTGTCTACAAGGCTTTTTCCTAGTTACTCATAGAAAAACAATACGCTAAGAAAATCCTCTTAAAATTTGATCCTTCTTTCACTGTTTTAACTCCCTTCTAATTATTTTTCTCATTCCATTCCCAGTTCTGCTCCTTTCTCTGTGTGATATGTAAGTAGAATGCCTACAAAAGTAAAATTCACTACTTCCCATCAAGTAACATGAAAGACCTTTTGATGGCTAGCTAAATCCTGGGATTATCCTCTGTTCAAGTCTGCTATCACTACACAGTTAAAGGTGGTGTAATTCCCCAGACAGTACAGCTTTATTATATCAAAGACATCTTACTCAAGTCCTTTTTAGAGGAACTACATTATTTTAGTGCTTAATGTATTTATAAAGTCACATTGAAACATATAAGACAGTATTTTGTTTTGTTTTCAGCATTAATTATTCTAATGTAATACAAACACTTGATTAAAATCTGTATGCTTTTGAATAACACATGCGAATATTTTAAGAAGTTTGTAAGGAACTAATACTTTAAGGCATTAAAATACCAGCACAGTTATAATTGCAAAAACTATCAGCACTAACCAAAATACAGCCATACCTAACTGCACAATTTTGTGACTAACTTATATATAGAACAAATATTAATACGAGATCTCAAAATTTTTATTTAACATTTTTCTCAGTGAATCTAAGACTTTTTTATTTCTCAGGCTGTAGATAATTGGGTTTAACAAAGGGATTATGACTGTATAAAATAGAGAGTCCATCATATCTTGATCATCTGCCTGTTGAGACCCAGGGCGATCATACATGAAGAGGAGGGGGCCATAGTACAAAGACACAGACAAGAGGTGGGCTCCACAGGTGGAGAAGGCTTTTCTTATGCCTTTGATGGACTTCCTTTTTAAGATTGTGAAGAGAACAAATGTATAAGAGACAAGAACAGTCACAATGGTGAATGCTTGAATTGAACCAGCAAATATAAAAACCACTAAAAAATTAATAGCAGGGTCAGTACAAGAAATCTTAAACAATGGTATAATGTCACAGTAAAAATGATGTATTACGTTGGAATTACAGAAGGTTAGTCTCAGTATAAGACCTTCATGTATTAAGGCATGAAGAAAACCACCTAAAAATGACAAGACCGAAAGCCAGATGCACAGTTTATTTGTCATAATCATCGAATAAAGTAAAGGTTTACAAATGGCTACATAGCGATCGTATGCCATAGTTGCTAAGAGAAAACATTCTGTGGTTACACCAATTGCAAAAGGAAAAAATTGTATCATGCATTCAGAGAGAGACATCATTTTGCTCTGGGTGAAGAAGTTGACCAGCATCTTTGGGGTCACTGTGGATGATAAACAAGCATCCACAAAGGCTAAACTCCCAAGGAATAGGTACATGGGGATGTGGAGGTGAGGGTCATTCCAGATGAGAATAATCAGACCAAGGTTCCCCACAATGGTGATGAGATACATCACCAAGAACACCAGGAACAGGGGGATTTTCCACTCTGGTTGATATGGAAGTCCTGTGAGAACAAACTCTGTCAGCAGTGTTGCATTTTCCTCTTCCATGTCCTTACTTGGTGCCTCCTGAAATGAAATAAAGTAAACTTTAAAAGAACATTCACTAAAGATTTATGAAGTGAATATTGGGGGATGAGAGTTGAATATAACCATATACTTATCAGAATAACCTCTAAAGTTTATATTACTATTATAATAGATAGTATGTATTTGGGGGAATTAAAGAAATTTAAAAAATGCAATTATTTTGGTTCATCAAACTTGCTGGAATCAAAAGATTTAGACAAAAGGAGAGGGCTTCTGAGCATGTGGTAAATTTGTATGGACACTATTGAATATAGGAGGGAAATTTTCTGTCTTGGACATGGAAACAGGGCCAATGGATAGATGGTTAAGGAGCCTGGATTAAAACATGTATTGAATGGCATGTGAAGGATTTTGAACTTCATCCCTCAGGCAGTAGCCATGTACTAAAAAGTTTTACGACAAGTGGCATCATAAGAAATTTTTTAAATTAAATATTTTTTACTCTACAAAATAACGCTACAGGGAAGGGAAACTGGAGTCAGGGATACTAACAAGGGAGCTGCTACAATTGTCTAGGGCTTCTCACACCACATTACACTCAGAAATGTGTGGAGGAGCTTTCTGCGCAAAATACAGATTGTGAGGTTTTACTGAGAAAATGCTTTAGTGATTCGATAAGGAGGTTCAATAATTTGCATTATAAAAGGGCTCCAGAGGTAATTCCCACGTAGTTGAAGTGCCTAGTCCACGTGTGAAATAACACTGGGAGTGATGAGAATGATAGGGACATAGATGCAGAAGAATTCAGAATTGTGGGACACTAAGACTTTGTGACACATTAGATGTGAAAGGGGTGGTCAGTGAAGGAGAAAACATTCCCTTTTTGATGGGGTAGATGGTCATCAAAAATTGAGATGGAGTAAAATGCATTGGCAAAGTTGTGAAAAAAAGCATCCTATGAACATCCCAATGAGATGTACTGAGTAATATGGATCTGTTAGACCCAAATAAGAATAATGATTTGGGAGTCTTCGGGGTGTTTGTAACAATGAAAGACCTGTTCTCTGGAGAGTGTACACACTGAAACAGAGAACGGTAAGGGGAAAACTTGAAGGAGTTACATTAAAGAGGTTATAATGCAGAGGGACATCATTTATTAGATGGTCAACGTCTCATCACCTCTTACCACATGAGTCTTGGTGGCAGACAGAGACCATCGACCACTGAAG